CACAGGCGGCCCAATCTCGCAAGGGTCAGTATAGACTTATAGTATAAATGAATATTATAGTAATGCCTGTATTATTATAGTAAAAATATGTCATAAAATATAAATTTTAAAATAAAATTGACTTGCCTATTTGATAGTGTGTGTTCTCCTTTTATTCCTCCTTTGTTGGACTAATATTTTCCAAGACTTTGTACTCGATGTTACTAGTATACATGAAACATGATAAAGGCTAACGATTCCCGATCGTCGATACGACGGCACAGCACTTCGAATCGAAAATTTTCACACTCAAATCGCTTTATTTTCCAAACAATTTCGCCAGCATGTACAACAAATGCCGTTCTTCGAAAATACAGAGGTACTTCTACCATACTTTCCAACCAAGAGCCGCTGTATATTACTTCTTCCTTAAATTTCTTCAATCTCCGTCGTTTAATTTTATTTTCTTCGACAACATCTCGAGTTTTATACAGTATCCGATCGAAGGAGTTTTTATTTTGAATATCAAATTTCAAATAATGTAAACAGTCGCTATCACGGTTGCGATTGGCTGGCTGTTGCCGGAAATATCTGCTTCCCCCCTGTAAATCTCAACGGTAAGGAGGCCTGGTTGCGCAGACGTTCGCCGTAGTAATTTTCGGCCTGGGCAAGTTCAATATAAAATGGGTTTTGATTTCCATTGTTAAAATATGGTCCAAAACGTGTACATCTCTCCGAAGTATCTCCGTATTTTCGAAGAACTGCTTCTGTTGTGCATGCTGGCGAATTATTTTTGAGAATAAAGCGATTTGAGTGTGAGAATTTTCGATTCGAAGTGCCGTGCGGTCGTATCGACGATCGGGAATGGTTAGCCTTTATCATGTTTCATGTATACTAGTAACATCGAGTACAAAGTCTCGGGTGATATTAGTCCAACAAAGGAGGAATACAAGGAAAACACACACTATCAAATAGGCAAGTCAATTTCATTTTAAAATTTATATTTTATGACATATTTTTACTATAATATACATTACTATATAAATATACATTTATACTATAAGTCTACACTGACCCTTGCGAGATTGGGCCGCCTGTGGTATAAATTTACACAAATATTTCTGGCGTGCTCCCTTGGTCTATATTATGGTTCTTCGCTAGAATTAATCTACGATAATTTCCGCTCGATATTTTCAATTAGCAAATCCTCACAACTGGAGTGCAGTGCCAAAAATTCCTTACGATTAGTCTTTCAAGAAAAATAGTATGCATGCATTCCTTGAACAAGTAGCTCACATTTAACACGTACTTATACTGAGCAAGTAAAAAAGGCCGTGAGGTCGGCTTGTCCTTTTTGCTGAATGTTCTCAACCTTCGGATAATTGGGAAAGTAGATCCTTGTTTTCCTTACGTAGAGATGTTAATTAGTTTTTCTTTATCCCTTAACCAAAAATGGCAAGTATGTCACCTAATATAGAGTGTATGTAAAGTTATGATCTCAACTGTAAACATATTGAAATTTTCATATCACTCTTTCTTGTTTTCTAGTACCGGTGAGGGGACCAATAATAGAGAGGTTAAAATACTCCGAGTTACTCGAACCGTCCTGACCGCGTAGCTCAGTTGGCAGAGCATTGGGCTAGTATTACAAAGGTCGTAGGTTCGATTCCCACCGTGGCCGGGCATATTTTTCAAGCTCGCCCGGTGTGGATATACACTCAGAGTAACATCACAAACATCATATTCACCTGAGTACACAACACCAACACAGAAAAAATCATATTACTAGATTACATTGGTATCGAAGGAACTAGATTCTGTTCCGAAATATCACTTACTCGAATCGTCCTGACCGCGTAGCTCAGTTGGCAGAGCATTGGGCTAGTATTCCAAAGGTCGTAGGTTCGATTCCCACCGTGGCCGGGCATATTTTTCAAGCTCGCCCGGTGTGGATATACGCTCAGAGAGTAATATCACAAACATCAAGCCCCGATATGTATAATTCCATTAGGTGGTCTGCACATATTCCCCTGATTTATAGTATACATTGATATATGAAAGTATACATTAAAACAAAAGGAAAATCCAATATTTTCTGGAATCTGAGCCTAAAGGCCCGGTCACACTTGACAACGATAACGACACAAAAAATTGTAAACACGTGATAAGGGACCGGTCATTAATGTGTGATACATACCAAGTACTGAACATTTTTTAGAGCCGCCCCAATCGCAAGACCTTTATTTTCAAGACGCCCCACCTTCATCTAGAACATTTAGAACCCCCCCCCCCCTCCAACATTTAATTTGTTACATTTTTTGGTGTAAAATAGGTAATGGGAAAAGTACTGGGGACCAGTATTCGAAATGGTTGTTGTTTACTCCGTTTCCCATGGTGAACTGCATATACGCAATAAACTGTGGAAATTACGATTGTAGGAACTAAAAAAGCTTTAAATATTTTAAAAATGAGTAGGAAAGTATTAAAAAATTGTGGTCGCCCCTTGTCACATATTTTTTCAGTTTGAGGCCGCCCCCAATTCAGGCAAAAATAGTTGAAGCCGCTCCCCTTTTCTAAACCCACCATCCCCCTCCCATTATTAATAACCGGTCCCTAATTGGCAAAAAATTGTGTTAGTGTCCACACTACAACGAAAATGATAAAATTATCGTTTGACGATAACGATAACGATTTTAAAATCGCTCACCTGAGCGATTTTTTTCAGTGGGACGATACGATAAATTTTTGACCAATCAGCGCGCGCATACAAGTTATCGTTGTACGTGTAGTGTGACCTAGGCTTAACACGTTTCCACTCCTCAGTAATTATTAATGCATAGTCAGTTTTTTTTGCTGCAGTAGAGCAGGTTTACTTCTGGAAAAGACCGAGATTTATGGTGTTCCGGTTTGACTTGTCCCAGGGGCAGGGGTTATGGCCACGTCAGACAGCCGAGAAGCCTTGAGAACGAGGATGCCATCAGACGTCAAGAATAGTGTGCGCAATAGACCTTTCCCCTTTTGAGTGAAATTTTGATCTAGACAAGTCTGGCCAAAAATTTCATCACAGCTTGAAAGAGCATCACAAAATTAGTAATATTCTGAAGTTTCGTTGCGAAATGTTGTAAAATGCGGATAATATAGCCTTGCGAAGTTTGCCGTTTTTCAGTCATTCACGAACGGGAAATTGATAATCAGATGATCAAACTGATTATCAATTTCCCGTTTGTAATGCAAAATGACTGAAAAACGGCAAACTTCGCAAGGCTATATTATCCGCATTCAGTTACAACATTTCGCAACGAAACTTTGGAATATTACTAATTTTGTGATGCTCTTTCAAGCTGTGATGGAATTTTTGTCCAGGCATATCTAGATCAAAATTTCACTCATAAGGGGAAAGGTCTATTAGGAATTTGGAGAATATTTTTGACTGGTTGTCAGCAAACAAACTGTCATCCTCCCCAGCGAACTCCAAATCACGTGATTAATTTATTTATCAACAATAGTCAAATTAAATAAGAAACCTTGACTCACCATACGTTAGAAAAGTCTCATTATTCATATATCAAACAAAATCAAACGTTGCATTGGTATGATCTCAAAAATTCGCAATTTTGTGGGTTTACATATACTTTAAGGGACCGCTCATTATTTATTGCACAGGGGAGGGGGGACTGAGGAGAAACTATACAGTTACAATATCGTTGCCCCCCTCAGGCAAAACAGGAGCATAAATTTTGGAGCCCCGCCCACTCTAGCTCTTTATTTAGAGAAACAAAAATAGATAACGGGAACCAATTTATCCTAATGAACATAAGAGACTATTTATTTGGCTTCAATTATGAATATCAATATCAAAGGTCTGTAAAAATTGTTGTTAAGTTGTTTCGTGATACATCTATCATTCAAATATGACGTGCACCAAGAGTGAACATTCCCTGAAATACCAAAATCCGTACTGAAAGTCGATCAAGCAGTATATACTATGATCCACGACAGTCCACGGTATCAAAAGCCGCACTGAGATCAAGTAACGCCAGTAGAGTGACTCGTTGCCGGTTCATGTTGAGTAAGATGTCATTCTTGACTCGAAGGTGAGCAGCTTCAACACTATGAAGTTCAAGGTATGCGGGCTGTGCTTCAGGATAGATTCGGTGGACTGTAAGATGTTTATGCATGAGTTTGTCCAGTTACAGCTCGTCCAGTAAGCTTAGAAGCAAGCTATGGGGCGAAGGTTGGAAAATATCTCCTCAGCACTTGGTTTCTTGAATCCGGGTCTAACATCAGCAAGTTTCCAATTTTCTGGAAAGCAGCCAGATTGCAGGGACAGATTTGTTATTCTTGTAAGGATAGGAAGAAGAACATCCAAACACTTAACCACAAGGGGGGGAGGCATAGGATCTAGCGAGTAAGATTTCCTGCTTGATTTAGCAATTAAGCGCATGGCATTGTCATCACTGAGAGTTTTAAAGGAGTCAAAACGAGCCGAACAAGTACTGCGTTGCTGCGGAGTTAGAGTAGAGTCAGTAGCTGCTTCATCATGCAAGTTTAGCGCGAATGCGCTGTATCTTCTGCATAATAAAATTTCCTCAATATCATTTGCTAATATAATGTTATCATGATATCCATTGAAAGACAGGTCTGTCTCCTGATCGAACAGTGTCTTTGTGGACCTGAACAGCTTGCGTTGGTCATGGCTGTTCTCATCTATAAAGCATGTGTAGCATTTTCTCCGCGCCTGCTTCATCACGGCAGTGGTACGGTTCTGTTTAGGGCCTTGAAAGTCAAAAAGTCACTGTGCAACTTTATTCTGGGCCACTTAACTTCCTCTCAGCCCTCCAGCGATCGGATTTGACCTCATTGGTGAACCAGGAGACAGTAGGTCGTTTGGTAGTTGTTTTATTGAGCACCGGTGCATATATGACGGTCTAAGGCTGATTTTAGGGTATCATTATAGCACTCAGCCAAGTCATTCTGGTCATAAGAGGCTGTCTTCGTGCAGAGGTCAGAGCTAAAAAGCTCTTTGCACAAAGTATCCACATAATTAAGTAAGACTGAGTTATAAACCGAGTAGGAGGTTTATAAACCGACTTTCGAGGTTTATAACTATCACACTTGCGGAGGTTTTCCAACATATTTTGTCATTTTCAAAAATTTTTAATGAAAAATTCTCGCGTTTTGTCTACAAGTTTAATCCAATCATTTATTCAAGGTCTATAAGCTAGTTATAAACCTCGGACGAACAAAGAAAACCGACGCAAGTGTGATATAATTGATTTTATTTTCCATTTTTGATGATATATTTCTTTGCGTTTATTGTACTTTGCCCTGTGATTTGACTGATAATTATAGAGAGATATATTTGGTTCCATATATGGAGATATTTGGTTGTTGTCGCTTACGTTTCTAAATATCACCGCCCACAAATTTGCCCAGAAAAGGGCTTGCGGAGGAGGTAGCTGAAGCAATGTATTTTTTTCATAGATGATTTTTGTCAATTACGGTGATTACGCTGAAGCAGTGCATTTTTGTCACTTCCAGCGTCACGCGTCATCGTCAAAGCGCTGAAGCAGTCTATTTTTGTCAGTTAAACGGATGTGACTGACAAACCTTTCTTATAAGTCCGGCTGGCTTCAAAACGCATAAATTATTTCGTAAGCGACATCTCAGACGATAAATTATGCGCACGTGGGGTCGACATGCACGTCACAGCCAGCCACTGAGAAAGTATATATAGAGCGAGAATTCAATACTATATAACAATTATTGAAACTGCGGTGAACGCGATGTGAAGTGAAAAACTTAAATTTGGATAACTGACTGCATACTGTACGAATTTCAGATCCAGCAAAGTAATACCATCTCAGTCGAAAAGAGGCGAGAAGAATTCTGTAATGGAAAGATATTTGGTTCTTGTGTTGTTGACTTTATTCTTCAGCGAATTGGCGACTCCTGCACTCGGCTGTGAATCGAAATCTGACTGTGATGATGGTCTTAGCACGACTACAATTGTGCTTATCGCTATCTTCGTTCCAATTGGTTCCGTATTAATTTTGCTGTACTACATCTACATTTGTTGCTACTACGATGGAGAGTCAGGAGGCAGTGGTGGTGGCGGTGGAGGATACTGGGGAGGTTACGGCGGCGGTGGGGGAGGGGGCGATTGTGGGGGTGGAGGAGGGGGAGGGGATGGAGGTGGAGGTGGAGGTGGATGCTAAGGAACACCATGGTCATATCCCGATATTTCACACAAACTACTGCAGTGCCATGGGTCAATATACATAAGACTGAATGTAACTATACTGTATATACTCAAAGCTCGAGAGACTTGGATGTATCTGGGATATTACAGTTATATCTCACATCCTTGACATAACCACAGATGTGAGAGAACAGGCGAACATATAAACTATGAAACATATAAACGTATACTAAGCTCTAAGCTTTGAGTGGACTTTTCAATACCGGTGGATAGTTTTATATTATAATTTCAATACATCGACATGCATCAAGAAACAGACGATGGATAATAAATTGACAGCTATATTGGAGTCCAATGAAATTGTTCATTTTAATATGTTGTAAGTGAATTAAATATGTACGTGCCTCAATTGTATTACAGAGAGCCATTCCGCAAAAAATACAAAAGCTATATTCCCGAATTTTACACAATTTGAAGCCATCGAATTGATAACTATATCAGAATGAGAAAAATGTTAAATATGTACTGCATGTAAAAGATCTTGTGTTATTACCTCCGCCAGGAGGTTATGTAATCATCTGGGTTTTTACCTCCGCCAGGAAGTTATGTAATCATCTGGGTTTGTATGTGTGTGTGTGTGTGTGTGTGTGTTTTGGTCTTTGGTGACTTGTGGAGACCAAAACCTGAATACACACTATAGTTGTGGGGACCAATTGACTTGTGGAGACCATTGGCCGGGCCCCACAAATATTTTGGTGTAGAAAGGCTTAAATTCCCAAAAAGTTCTTATCGGACGTGGACGGATGTATTTCTAGTGATATATTTATCAGCGTTCATGCAAGAATCCGAACGCAGAACAAGAAATACTGGAAGTACAACAAGTTATAAAAATGTCCCACAAGTCGGTGTTAGTGTGTGTCAACACCGTCGCCAAAACTAGGTAAAAACATGGAAAGGAGAAGATAACTGATAGATCTTTTGTAAATTGTTTGAAAATTATTAAAATTTGCTGTAATTCGATGATTACACACCACTTGCTTACACACCAGCGGTCCCCACAAATTCCGGTCTCCACAAGTAGTTACACATTCATTTTCACAAAGTTGTGGAGACCACCGTAGAAATATTTATACCGTCCCTTCCACAACTTTGAGATTTTGTGTATATTTAAGATATGGCATGGCATAAGAGATCAACTTAAAATTAATAACAATTTAATTTCTTTTAATTTTAAAATTATGCTCGAAACGTCGTTTTATCGCTTGTATTCAATGCATAATAGTTAGGTAAAAGATATATTATATACAGCACTGTATACATAATGTGTATCAAGATTATAATAAACAGGTCCGTAACCTGCTTATTATAATCGTGATACACGTTATATGTACAGTGCAGTACTGTAATACAATTCTTTACCTATCTATTATGCAATGAAAATAATTTTGAAACAAATACAAGCGATATAAATTATATTAACGACGTTTCGAGCACCATTTTCAAATTAAAATAAATTAAATTGCAGTAATGCAATAGTAATTTATTTCAACTCGAAAATGACACACAATTTAGCTTAGAAAGACCATTAAATATATCGCTCTTATTCGTTTCAAAAGTATTATGCATGGTGTGAAAAACCTTCTTTAGCAATTCAACAAAGTAGAATCATGATTTTTGTTACTTGTTCTGTTCCCCCGTATTTCTTGTTCTGCGTCCAGACGCTTGTATTAACGCTGACATATATATATATATATATATATATATATATATATATATATATATATATATATATATATATATATATATATATATATATATATATATATATATATATATATATATATATATCACTAGAAATACATCCCTCCACGTCCGACTTGCTAACGTTCTCTACAACTTCCGTAGTCCCCACAACTATAGTGTGTATTTAGGTTTCGGTCTCCACAAGTCACCGAAGACACTCAGTATACCTGTGTATCGTAGTTTGTGGAGACCGAAATCTAAATGCACACTATAGTTGTGGGGACCACGGAAGTTGTTGTACTGCATGTATAAGGTTTAAACCAACGGTTTATCCTTAACGTTATATCACTATCGATAGCTCAATGGGTAGAGTTGCGGTCTAGATACCAAAAGATGCGAGTCAAATCCCGCTCGAGCCAACGAATTTTTCGTTGGTCGATTGCAGTGTCAGAATAATATGAAACTGGTTTTTCATTGGGAGAATGTCGTATTCTATGTATCTCATGATCAAGAAAATATTTGTGTTACAGAAAATGATCTCCAAATACTTCCTTTTTATTGTCTGACTTATGATACATTTCAGCAATAATTCAGAAGGATAATTATTTAAATGGAAAATTATCGCAAAGTATGCGAAGCTACAATATAGATATATTTAACTAACATATGACTACGGCAGAACACAGCTAGTGAAGTCCCGATTATATTTACTCAGTAATTTTTAGTTAACATGACCTCAGTCTGTAAACGGCCAACCTCGTTCCCAGTGTCTCACCTCCGCTCACCCCCTGCTCCGGGTATGGTGTGGTCACGTGAGTCATGACCACGTGCTATACTCAGTAGGGGTAGCAAGCGGTAGCATGATTGAGCACTTATTAATTGACTAAAAATAGCACGTGTATATTAAAACAAAGAGTATTTTAAACAGCCGTTATAGTTTAGGTGATAAATAAGGTCGAACTGTAATAAAAGAGTAGAGAAAGCATCACAGCAGGAATCTATCTCGTCAACGATTTTGAAAGTTTCTTTTTAGCAGTGTGTCAAACCCAGTTGTGCTATAAAGCTATTGTCTGTATTGACCCTATTGTTGTCATTATAAATTTTGCAATGGCAATAATTATCACTAAAATTATTGGTGAGTGAAGAAGTATCTTTATAAATACTTTATCGTTGGCCCTCTACTGTTTCTTGTGTAAATTAAGTAATTAACTAACCCAGAACGTGCATGTTTGCTCTCTGTCGCGAATTGTCTATTATTGCCACAACATGTGGATGACTTCTCTTGCGCTATATAATTGCAATTATATGTTAATTGCACTAAAATAACTTTGTCAATGCTTTGGTATAAGGTCACAAAAGACATGTGCAGTCATACAGAATTATATTTTAAGCATGTAACTTGAAGGCATTAGAGCCAGCACATATAACAAAACAAACATGTAAGTATTTTGAATCGTGCAGAATGACATATAAAACCTGTACACTATACCAATGGCAATGGGCAATGACAGAATCAATGCAAATTTATCAAACATCATGAATTAAGACGCGTATACCAAAATGTTACATGTAATAATACGCGAACATTTATTTACACAAAACTAAACATCGTGCCAAGTCGTTAAAATATATATCTTAAACACATACCGTTAGCACTGCATATTTTCAATTTATGTAAAGGTGAGAGTTCATATATAGTTGATAAGCTTTTTTAGGAAATACACTAGAATGTATCCATTTTATTTTGACAAATACATCTGATCTGCGCTATATTAATATACAGCTAATTGCATTAAGGTTGTCCTCCGACAAAGCTAAAAGGTAAAAGCCAAGCGCGAAAAGTACGATGGGTGTTACGAATTAAATATTCATCTCGTATACTGTATATTCATCACACAGAAAAAAAAGCGTGACAAGAAAGCAAGTTTGAGTAAATGAGTCTGTTGAGAACGCGAATGATTAATGTCAATTATAGGAATACGATAAAATTATTTTCGGCGATCCCCTGTTGACCAGGAAATTATTATTATGAAATTCCTTCACAACAATTCAATCTGCATAACAAATGTGGCAGAACAAGAATTAACAGTTTGGTCTCAGCGTGGCCGCTTTGCATAATCGTCTCTTAGAAACAAGTAAAATACCTCTTACGAACTGAATGCAGTTAAGTTTTGTGTAAAAATGCCTCGTGCGTATTTTCCTAATTGAAATAGCGGAAATCGGTGTATCGAGAAGGTTGGCTTTTATTTGCAAATATCTGGAAAAACCCTTTCCTGGTACGTAAATAGCCTAAATCTACAAGGATGGGAAACATGAACACAGGAATAAATTCGCCGCCTTTTGCCTGCGTTCTACAGGGTGTCTCAAAAAAACCCAAAATCATTGAAATTGACGTATTGTTCGATATTCAATGCCCTAGCACTAAGTTAATCCCACGAGTGCATAAAAGATTGACATAACTGCTATAATGAATGGTAATACTCAGCGTAAACTTGTTATGTCAGGCATAAAGTACTAAACCCACGAATGCATATTACGCATATTACAATTTACGAAGCATTTTTAAATTCCCATGAGCAAACAAACGTTCACTTTACAAAGATATTTTAATTTTTTAAAACAAATTAATCACCCTGTCAAAATCCTTTGTGTTACGGCATTGAAATTCGAACAATACGTTATTTCAATGATTTTGGGTTTTTTTGAGACACCCTGTACAGGGTGTACACCTTTCAAATTCAAATTAATCGTAATCTATTGTAGTAATTTGACAGCCATATAATTTCTCAAATTAATGGTGCGTAAGAACACAAGGTCTTTTACACATGGGAATTTAGGATAACTTGCAATTGTTTCAGTAAGACCATTATGTAATTCGAAGTGATTTATAGTTGTCAGAATTACTACAAATGGTTATGTCTAATCTGAATTTGAAAGGACAACTTTGTTTCACACACCCTATATTTCACAACTATCTGAAAGTTATTTGTTAACAAACTTGGAGGTATGACTTTCATACATTAAGTCTATTTCAAATGCAATCACTGGCAAACTCCATAAACTTTTAATAGTCATGTTGGTTAAATTATAGGGAAAATAGGTATTTATTAAACGCAGTTAATCAATTCAAACTAGTCACTCCTATCGTACTTTTCGCGCTTGGCTTTTACCTTTTAGCTTTGTTGGAGGACAACCTTAATGCAATTAGCTGTATACGAAGCACGGTTTTTAAAAGTCACAATGTATTAATAATATCACTGCGATCAGTAATCACTATTTAGCAAGAAACAGACGACAACAAGAGTCCAAATCACTGGTGTAAAATGCCGCGACCCATATCACAAATAATGTTTTTTTCGTAGTGTAATTAGTTTTATGTCAAATATAGAACTTCGAAAACTGCCAAATGCGATCATTAACTAAACTGACAAGTTCTATTATTTTTACAAATGACTGTAGTTAATAACTCTGCCCCACGTACCCACCCTAACGACAAATTACGCTATATCCCAAAATCTGGGATATCACGAGACCATACCCGAACAGAGCCTCGCCGGAGCCGGTGTTTGGGGGGCGGGGGGGCGTGGCGGAAGTGAGACCCTGTGAAACAGGTTGGTAAACGGCCACCTCAATTCAGTCAAATGGGACTATGTATACAAGTGGCTGCGGTCGCCAATTAACCTGCGGCCTAACCAGTATAAAACAAAAAACCAACAGTGTTTTCATTCGGAAAATAATGCAAAATTTCTCCCATTCGAAAAAGGGTTATCTTATAGCGAAACACAACATAGAGACAATATAATGGTCGAATGGTTGATAAGTCATTGTTATAATTTATAAACATTATTTACTTGGGATAAAAATTGTGGAGAAATTTATGAAAATATTGTCTAGCTTTCCTGGTTAAA